GGTGCCAGCCCCAACCCCGGCTCGGCAGGGCTGGCAGAGCACACGCCAACAGCCCGGCTGGCCGCGGGGCCAGGAGGACGGTGGGCACAGAAGTGTGGCTCCCTGCCTCCTCGCAGAGCAGATGGGGCCACCCCGCCGGGCCGGAGCTAGCCCGCAGGTCTGCTCTCGGCCCACGCTGATCTGAAGGAGGAAGGCTCAGCTCTCAAGGTCAGCTCTCTGCCTGCCCTGCCGGAACGGGCAGCGACGTGCGACGGGGGGAATGACGACAAGCCCGCGCCGTTCGGAGCAGAGCTGGTGCTGTGCCTCCGAGTCAGCCGGCTGCACGCTGGCTCTACCCTCCCCTGGGAGCGCGCCCACCGCCCCGGATCGGTGCTGAGCCCCCTGGAGGGGCCCCCACCCTCGCCAGGGCCTTGCGGCACGTTTATGGCTCAGCTGCGAGCCCAGCCTGCAGCACCCCAAAACAACACCGGCATCACGTGAGCACCAGCGCCTTTCTCCTCCCATCCCCCGATAACCACAAGGTGGGAAGAAAGAAATGAATCTTCCTTAAATTATTTTCAGATCAGAAGTCGCCCTGACAAGGCTGGTGCCCGGGGAGGGTGAGGGGCCCGACGCAGCCTGCGGGGGGATTGTTACTCCCCACAGAGCAGCCCCAAACGCCGAGCGGCGGGGGCCGCGGAGGGCTCACCCTCAGCAAAGCAGGGGATGCTGAGCTCCCGCGGGAAGCCGGCCGAGCGGGGCGGGTGGCCGCAGCCCCTGTGCAGGGTGCTGGCCACCCTCCCTGGTGAACGGCGTTGCTTTCCCATCGCCAGCTCCAGATCCCCACGGCGCTGCCAGCGCCGCCGGCCGCAGAGGGATGTGGTTTCCGGCAGCCGAGGCGTGGTTTACACGCAGGGCGCTGCGGGGCAGGAGCCTGCCAGGCCCCACACGACGGAGGGACGAGGCTTTCACACCCACGGCCGTGCCCAAAACCAGAGCAGGACCCGCCAGGCGCGGCGACAGCTTGTCCCCGGGGGGACACGGACGGGCGCGGGCACTAATCTGCCCTGTCTGACCGCTGCTGACTCAGCAGAGGATGGCATTTTCCACTTGACCTATATTTGGTGAGAGTTGTGGGGAGGCAAATGGACACGTGGGTCATAAATAAAGAGAAAAACCTCAGACAGCACCTGTCAAGAGCCGTACCTTGCTGATGGCCGTCAGGACCGTGGAATAAGACACCATCTACAAACAAAACACAAAACCAAAGTGAAGCCGGTGCGGCGGCACGTTAGCGGGCGGCGTTTGCCAGCGCAGCGCTCGTTGCCGAGGAACGGCAAGGTCAGGGCACGGCCCCGCTGCCTGTCACCGCAGACGGGGCTGAGGGGCGCTGACCCGGCACAAATCCAAACAGACATTTTTAGGTGATCGCTGATTCGTTTCACACAAACTTTCGGCGATATTAAAACGCGGCGCCGAGAAAGCGCAGAGCTCACGGCAAGCGCAGAAGCTCAAGCGGGGCCAGGATTTCCACCCCCCCGCGCAGCCGGGCAATGGGCAGAGGTTATTTACAGAAACACCCCCGCCCCGGGCATGCACCGAGCCCTCCGCCGCCCGCCCAAGCCCTGGGGAGGTGCAGGGGAGAGATTCGGGGCGTCTGCCCACCACTGACTCCGCACCCCGGGTTCTCTGCCCAGCTGCTAATTGGGGCTGCGAGGCGGCAGCCGCGGCGCCCGCAGCGCGAGGCGGGAGCGTCGTTACCTGGGAGCTGATAGCGTATTTCAGGTAGGACAAGATGAGTGGGTTCGGTGACGGCCCGATCATGGCCTGCTCGAGGAGAGCCTCTGCAAGCAAAGGAGAAGGGCCGGGAGGTCCCAGGTCAGCGCGGATACTCGCCCGCTCTGTCCTCACCCCGCAGGGGAGGTGGCAAAGACAAATTGCGCTAACCACAGCGACTCTGCTCCGCTCTTCCCCAAAATTAACTGAATCCCACAACTTTCGAATCCCCAACGGCAAAAGCCGGTAAATAATTCAGGCAGCACAAGCAGCCTCCTGCTAACTCAGCTCTCCCCGGGCACCCTGGCCCCAAAACAACGCCTGCCGCTCTCCAAATGCGTTCCCCTCCCTCCCACGTCCTGCCCAGGAGGCTCTCGCAGCCTCCGCCGAGTGATTTTTTTGCTCCGGCACCTGGGGCCAAACTCCGGGCTGACAGTCCCTCTCAGCTGGGCCCAGCCCTGCACGTCTGGCCCTCCCTGCCACCGGCTGCCTGCCAGCACCGGCCCGCGGACGCTGGAGGGGCTCTGCCCGTCCTATCTGCTCAGTCAAGCCTTTAATTGACCATTTGAACTATGGCAGAGAGCAGGAGCCACCTCCCGAAAGCAGGCCCCGGGCTGCGGCACGGCCTGGAAGTAGGTCAACGCGCCCAGATGTAAGAGGGGGGCAGCAGCCGTTTGGGAAATGGTCGCCCCAGAGAGGAGGAGGAGCAGCAGCCGTCGCCGGATCCCGACCGCGGGAGCGGGAGACTCCCCAGGTCTCGCTCGAAGGCTGAAGCCTCGGCCAAAAGCATCTCAACTCGAGGACAGAAGGCTAATGGCAGCCTTCCCCTCCCCATCTAATCAGGGAGCGTCAAGGCGAGCCAGCCACACGCTGTTACCCACTGCAGGCGTGTCAGCATAGATTTGCTGGGCACCGCCGTGATCTGGGCAGCCCGTGCCAGCTTCTCCTCCTTTGTAGTTTAAATCTGGAAGGCACGAGCTCAGGGAAAGGACGGCTCGAGGGCTGTGGAGAGGGAGGCAGCGGCTCTTACAGGCGTCGGGGCCTCGGGAAGAGCCTCCCTGGGTGCCCGTGGCGCTGGCGGGGTCAGCGTCCTCCTTTTCAGGCTCCTTTTCGCAGCGAGGGAAAAAGGGCCCCGGCTCCCTCCTTGCAGGGGGGCTGCCCCCCAGCGAAGCCCAGGGCTAACGAGCCTTTCCCTGGCTCAGAGCTGGCC